GATCCAATGGGTCTAGCCCATTTTGCCCATAACCTCCCTCTCTACAAAACTTGGGTACCCCTTGGGGCACACCCCAAGTTTCAATCCCAAGCCTTATAAACCCATTCAAAACTTCCCACTAAATCAATGTGAGACAAGCCTTATTCAAACCTTTAAGGTTTTTCCACCAAAACTCTATTTTCATAGAGCACACTTTGGTTTCAATTTCCCATTCACTCGATAATGGTTTTGAGCAACCAAATATACCACGTGAATCACAACGCGGCATAGAATGCGTTACCACTTAGACTCGCCAACTTTGGCGTACGGGTCCCACCTAAATAATTTTCTATTTTCCATAATTTTTCCCAACCATTTCTAACACATCATCGTCGTAATCGGTAGTGTTTGGCAATGTTGAAGCATGTATTGAGTGTGTGGTTGTATGTAATAGGTGTGTAGGGGTTTTTATTTGGTGTATCCGTTGTTTGATGTTACTGGTTTTGTGGGGTTGTAATTGAGCTGAGGGTGAAGTCCTGTACTGGGATATATCAGTTTGTGATTTTAATTATGGTAATGTAACATTGTGCATGAAATTATATAGGTGTTTTCTAGTTGTATGCGTGTGTCGTCATCATTTATTGGCATGAGTGCAATGATGGAGTCATTAATAAATGGGTTGTCTTGTTTTGTTGTAATATCGAAAAGAGTCCTCTGTTTTTTCCAGTTGCATGTGCGTGTAGTAATGATGTGGATTGTGTTAGATGTCCATGTTAGTGGGAGGGAAATTTAATTGATGATGTAGATCCTTAGGATGTTTAATGGAAGCGTTCGAAAATGTGTTCTGTTTGAGTGGAGGTTTGTTGTATTGGTGGTGAAAGATTTTATTGGCTTTTGTGTAGGAGTTGATTGCGATTGTCCACGTAAATGTTAGGACATGTGACTTCCATGTTAGTAAAAATTAACCAATGTCAATGGAAGCAATGAATCCATTACGTTAGTGTGTGCAATTGTAGGTATGTTGGAGTTTTTTATGGAATGTTGATGACTTGCATTTTATTGGCAATGATTTGTTGGAGGTGTACATGCTACTTACTGAAAGTGCATGGTAATGAAGGTGCATTTGTCAGAATCATATATGTAGTGGGTCTTGTGTGAGTGGTAGTGTTAATGTGTTTGGTGTTTTTTTTTATTGTCCAGTTCACTGTTAATCTGAAGTGTACACTACGTTCATGTTTGGTTGTGTGTGAATATATTCACATCCACGTTAGGAAGTGTCCCACATGTATGAGGCATTAAAAGTGGTAAGATTGCTACTGTATGTGAAATAGTGTAGTGTAAATTTTATGCATGTGATGTTTGTGCTTGTCACAATGGCAAGTTGTATATAGGCGCTATTTGGGTAGTGGCTAAAGAGGCTATTATAGCCTAAAATGAAAATTTAGCCAAAAAGCCCACTGTTGCAAGTTTTTTTTTTTTTTAAAAAAAAATACATATATATATAGGCTGCACAACCGGCAGTGTAGCCTACACTGTCAGCTGCAGAAATTGTTCCATCAGTGCATAAATTACGATTTTACCCCTTGACAGCAATTTAAAAAAATATATTTTTAGGGATAAATTTGTCATTCTAATTTCAAACATCATTTCAACACATTTTTCAATACAACAACTCAAATAAAATCCATCTCATCTTCCCAAACATAAAAACCAAAATAGCCTACTAAAATAGCCAAAAAGCCAAATAGCCTACTAAAATAGCCACTTCCCAAACGAGGCCATAGTTTTTAAACCTTCATCTACTTGTTTCGCAACTGTTGTTGTTGTACGAATATGTGACACGATTTTAACGTTGAAAACTAATCATTGATTTATCAGAAAGAATGGGTGGTCGACCACCATTCTGCTTTTGTGAGACCAAGGATGACATCCAACAATGTTCTGACCCCAGAGTTTGATGGAACACTTATGTCAGCCATAGACTGCCCGCAACAGGGGCCGGACTCATAAGTTGACATAGAGGATTAAATCTGTTGTGTTTCAGGTATAGGTTTGTTATATTGCTACGAGTGTGACGTGGTGTTACGTGTTTTGACATGCAGATCGGACTGTGCGATAGTCATTTGTTTCATCATCCAGAAATACTTCCACGGGGTTGAAATTGACAAAACCATGGATGAAATGACACCATCCGTTATGCGTGCGGCGATAGTTAGGATGTTTATAAACGACGTGGAGAAAGGACTATGAGCTAGAAAATCATGATATGTTCCATCCCCCCTCTCCCTCCCCAACACCCTTATCCCCCTAACAAGTTTGAATTGGGTTTTATGTTTTGTTTGAACTACATTTTTTTGTAATGATTAATCCATTTTTCGACGTGGCCAAACGTAAAGCAAGAAATTGTGTTAAGATTATTTTTTTGGCTATTTAATTAGGTGAATTGCCTGTTTATGGTGTTGTGGTAATGATGTTATGTTGAACTTCAAATGGACAGTATTAGGGTAAATTACACTTTGCTCATTTATGCTTGGCTACCTTCTTACTTTCGTTTTGACGTTTATTTATTTTTTTCTTTGGCCTTTTATGTTTCAATTTTTTTCACTTTCCTCTTACTTTGCTCATTTATGCTGGGCTACCTTCTTACTTTCGTTTTGACGTTTATTTATTTTTTTTCTTTGGCCTTTTATGTTTCAATTTTTTTCACTTTCCTCTTAAAACTAATTTTTGTTAAAAATTAAACAAAAAATAACACATTGATAATATAATAATAAGATAATATAATAATAATATTATATATAACTCACACCTCTAACAGACGCTCAAACCCTAATATAATAATATATTTTTTATGTTATGTAACAATTATCATGATATTTTCTGTCCAATTTTGAACAAAAGTTAGTTTTTGGAGTAAATTGAAAAAAAAAAAAAAATTGAAACATAAAGGGCTAAAGTGAGAAAAAAAATAATTTTAATGGCCAAAGTGGAAAATTGACCAAACATAAAAGGAACAAAGTATAATCTACCCTGTATATTATAATTATTGTTTTTATTATTAATTAGTCACCCAAAATCCCATTCTCAACGACTAAAACTCAATTAGTCGCCAAACGTAAAATAAATACCAATTAAATTATTTTTTAGTAGTAAAAGATTATACATTTAGTGACCAAATTTTTTTTTTGTTGCTCAAAATTTTATTTTCAATGATTAAAACTAAATTTTTTTTTTTTTTTTTTTGATCGGCAAAGAAAAATTTCATTAACGGCATGAAATTAAAAGTACAGGAAGATGACATACATCAAGAGAGATTCGGAAAGTACAAAATACTCCTACTACTGCTACTCGCATCCATACAACCAACCCCTTGGCCTCACAATTTTTTTTTAAACAAAAAAGTTAAGAAAAACTTAACTGAAAAATAGAATACCTGAATCCCCACAAAATTACCCACAAAATCCAAAACCAAAGCTGCTACACACCCAACGCCTACCTGCTAATTTAAAACTAAAACTTTACCGCCCACTAGCTATTTTTTGAAACTAAAATAATCACCTATACTGCTTCAACTCCCAACACCTATGCTGCTTCATATCTATACCGCCCACCTGCTGCACACCCACGCCTGACAACTCCCAAAGCCCAACGCCCACCTGCTACTACTGCTAAATTTGTACACCACGCTCCTCTACACCTCCCAACTCCCACCTGCTAAATCTTTTCACCACACTTCACTAGCCGGAAAAATCCATAGCCAACATCACCACGGCTGGAAGAACTTCCATGCCTGACATCTCCAAGCTGCTATACTACTGCTATATCATTACCACCCACGCTGCTATACTCCACATGCTACTTCACTTCCACTGCCCAGCGACGGCCCACGCCGGACAACACACTGCCAACACCCAACTACACCCACGGACAACACCCAAGGCCACACCTCTCCGACGCGGTGGTTCAAAACTCTGAACACACCCAAGGCCGATCAACACTCATGACAACAAGACCCACTGCAGGTACTACTCCACCGTCCCTATATTGACGACCCAACGCCGAACTCCTCTTATTCAAAACAACCGCTGAGATACCACCAAACATCTGGACGGCGTTCACCCCTCAAACTCCCATACGCGTAGAAGCGCTCGAATGAAATCTTATACAGATCCGGATCATCTTCGACACTAATGCTTCCCCCCGACCAAAACACCGAAACACCTCCATAGACCTGAGCGGACAACACCCCTCAAACTTCCACGCGCAAAGAAGCGCCCGAATGAACATCTTAACCAGATCTGGATCGTCCTCTTTGCCGACCCAGTGAACAACCAAAACGTCACCAAAACACCCAAAAAACCAAGCAAGAACTATGGCAGCCCGCGCAGCACCGGTGGGAAAATAATGGGAGAATCAAGTTTATTAAACGGAAAACTAACAAACAAAAACACTAAAAGAACTGGGCCAGCCAACCTCCATAGCCAAAGGCGGCGGCCTGTCGGCCCCAAAATGAGGCTTGGGAAGGAGGTTTTTAGAGAGAGATTCTTTAAAAATTTCAGGGAGTGTATTTGTAATTAAAACTAAATTAGTAGCTAAAGTGTGTATAAACACCAACTAAATTGTTTTAGTAGTATTTAAAGTATGAGCTGTTACTGACTAAATTTTTTTAATAGCGAAAGAATGTACCTTTAAGAACTAAATTTTTGTAGCCGACATTTTTAATTATCGGTATTTTCATGTAATTAGAATTGGTCAAAATCTATGCAAATGTGTCTCATACTTATTTTGTCTTTTTCTGACTCAAACCTTCCTTGTGTGTGCCCTTAGAAGGCCCTTTCACACCAATAAAAGATCATACAAAACCTTTCTTGTACTACGATGAAGGTCAACCTCACAAACCAAACCAATTTTGGACATTGTTAGTTAATTAAACAAGCTATCATAGTTTTGAGTCCACAAATCTTTTTAGCAATCTCTAACTGCTTCAAAACCAAACCTTATTTAAATTTCACTCTTTTCCCAACTGTGCCCCTTCCTATTCTGACCCTGGGTGTACAGGGAGACCATTAGAGAGAGATAATAAAACCCTAAAGCAGAGAAAGAGAGAGAGACAACCCTAATAAAATAAAATAGCATGGCAAGCATGGCTCCCTCTTTCTCCCTCCTCTTTGTGGTGGTCACCCTTTTCTTCGCCAGTGGTGCCGAGGCAAAATTCAAAGGCATCAACTCCTGGTGCCGGACCTCTGACTACAAGCTCCTTTGCACCCGGATGGTGAATGGAGCTGCGACCCAGGAGGCCGCCATCGCCAACGCCGTCCAAGCCACCCTCCAAGCCACCACCCGGTTGAGACCTCAGCTCGATCTCCTCGGGGAGGCTCTGTCGAACCTTCCCGGGCTCACTAAAGACTCTGTGATCACCACATGCAGAGAGAGCTTTGAAAATGCTGAAGACAATCTCAAGGAGGCCTTGGATTATTTGAAGGCTTCCGACCGGTACACGGTGGTTGATAGGATTCAGACGGCGGAGAGCTCCTTCTTGGACTGTGTTACTGCTATCAAGGAAATGGGTGGCGCCACCTCTCTGGGAAAGACTAGCAAGATCTTGTATAGGTATTCAAGCAACTGCATGGCGGCCGCCACCCAAACCTAATGCATGCATGTGGCTGTGAAGACAGGAACCGATAATTCAAACACACAAAAAATACTAAGAAAAGTAGTGAGGTGTGATCTAGATTTATTTTCAGTATGTGGGCTCTTCTACATGAGTCGAATTTGAACCACACTATTGCTTTTGTTGGTTTTTTCTATGTCTGAATTGTTGATATATATAGTGGTACAGCCAAGGAGGGATGAGGATTGTGAAGGGGGTTGGTGTTGTGGGGCGAAAGCGCTCTGTTCTTAAATTTCTTTATTCTTTTATCTAATAATTTCAAATTATGTGAGAATTTGATATAAAAAATTTTAAGATATAATTTAATGATATGAGGTGCAGAGTAATTTGAAGCCAAAGAACGCTATACAAGGTATGCATGGAATATGAAAGTTGAATTTTTATTTTATCTTTTAAATTTGAGATATGCATGACACTAATTTTTTGTTACTATTTTATATAATCTTTTACATAAATATTTATGATTGTTAAATGATAGAGATGAATAAAAACAATAAATCTTCTTTTAAGTTTATATACTAGGGGAAATTGGTTAAATGGTCATTCCCTATAAATTTGAAATTCTGAGTTAAAATCTCAAGACAATCACTTTGTATATAATGGTGCTCCATATTTTCCTTCAAGAATTTCATTTTCTACCTGTAACAAGCCCGCGGGGGGGCCTCGCTACAGCTCGGACTCGACTTTCGTTAGTCACGGTTCTATGTCTGAACCAAAGAGTCCAAATCCGGCAAATCGTTTTGAGAAAAACTGATTTTTTGAAAGAAGTGCCAAACATGGACTGCTTTGCCAGATACAGAG